TACCATTTAAATGCGAAGCATTTCTTAGAGAACTTCGGCGACTTTGCGCGCATCTATCTATCTATCTATCTATCTATCTATCTATCTATCTATCTATCTATCTATCTATCTATCTATCTATCTATCTATCTATCTATCTATCTATCTATCTATCTATCTATCTATCTATCTATCTATCTATCTATCTATCTATCTATCTATCTATCTATCTATCTATCTATCTATCTATCTATCTATCTATCTCATGATTACATGCCACGCTCATGATGCGCTCGCGGCCGTTTCGCTAGCGCCACGTATAAAAAATTTGGTATTACGGTACGTGAATGGATGATGAAGGTATGTTACAGGTGCAAACATGATAAACATGAGATGCGTCTCATGTAACAACATGACAACATGCTACGCTGATGATGCGCTCGCGGCCGTTTCGATAGCTTCACATATACCAAACTCGGTATTACGTGACGCGAACAGACGACATAGGTAAATGACACATCCAAACATGATAATTACGATATGCGTGTCATGTAACAACATAACTACATGTCACACTCATGATGCCCTCACGGCCATTTTGATAGCTTTACATATGCCAAATTTGGCATTACGTGACGTCAATGAATGACGAAGGTATGTGACTGGTGCAAACATGATAATCATGAGATGCGTGTCATGTGAGAACATGACTACATGCCACAGTCAAGGCGCCAATACATTTCGACGTGACGCGGTGCGCGTGCTCAACGGCGTTCATTTCGTCGGGTCACGCCGGCGTTGCCACGCCAGGCACCGGTCCTGCCATATACTCGCAGGCGTGCGCCGCGCTGCGTTGCTTTGACGCATGCGCGTTTCAGCGCGTCCGGCGTCCCTCCGTCACGAAAAGAAGGAGACGCACTGTTGTCTGGATAACGCATCGGCGCGAAATGCAGCATGTCGCAGTTCACGCCGGTTGCCGTCGAGCCGTGCTGACGGACGCTGGTCGTGCGGGTCGCGCCTGGCGTCAGACTATAGAGTGCTCGCGCTTTGCTAACGTAGCGTCACTGTGACCAGCGTGCGCGCTCATCAACGCAACTTTGGAGTATATTGGGCCCTTCATGATGCTCTCGCGGCCGTCTTGCTAGTTCCACATATACCAAATTTGGTGTTACGTGACGTCAATGCATGAAGAATGTATAGGACTGGTGCAAACATGATAATCTTGACACGCGCGTCATGTAAGAACATGACAATATACCACGCTCATAGCGTGCTCGCGACTGTTTCGCTAGCTCCACATGTACTGAATTTGGTATCACGTGACGTGAATAGATGACGAAGGTAAACAACACATCCAAACATGATAATCATGACACGGAAGCCATGTACGGCATCATTTAGCCCCACCTCGCATTGTTGGGCTGATTTTAAAGTGATATATCAAACTTTCTCATTCGTGCTTCGCATATCACCGATTCCCACTGTACGTGGGATCTGGCATTTTTTTTTTTATTCGAGACTTCCCTTTGGCATAACAAACATACATAAGAACACCAGCGGCTCTGCGGGTAGATTTATAGACATATTCAACGGGTTAAAAAACGAATGTTTCACAAGCGAAATTCTTCCTCATAAACGAAGAACGCCTGAAGCATCAGTTCCCATCTATGTTTCGGTTTTTCTTGTTATAACATCATTCGTCGTCTTGTAAGAGCGAGAGTAGTAGTGCGCCCGTCGGGTGGCTTCATTTGGCTCCGTAATTGGATTCGAGCTTGCGCCCCGACCAAGGGCGAAATCATTAGCGACGTGAAAGCGTATAACGGGTATCACAGACACGGGGTCATCATCGAGAAAGCGAACCGTGTGGCCGTAATCAGCGGGAAAGGCGCCCGTTCTCGGATACAAAGCTATTCCGCATTCAGCCCCGGCTCCTCGACGAAAGAGATTTACTTGTACTGCGAAGACTCTTACAGCTGCGCTTGAGAAGTTATCAGATAAAAATAAAGATATAAGCCAAGTGAAAGCTGTCTGAAATTCGGTACGTTGATTCACCTACGTATTACGCACGTTATCTGTTCCGTTGCGTGCTTTCCTTTTGTTTACTTTCTATTCTATGCTCTTCTTCTGGTCTGGGACGATGAATTATTTTACTGATTGATATGTCGGGTTTAACGTCTCAAAGCCACCATGTGGTTATGAGAGATGCCATACCACAGAGGTAGCATAATGGTTGAGCGTCTGCTTCCAATGTGGGAGATGCCGGGTTCGATTCCGTCCCGGTGCCGGCCGGAGGTCACCGTATTCAAAGGGAGAGGGAAGTTGTACCCGGAGATTGGCTTACTTCTTAAGTGGTACACCCCTCGCCCTTTAATCACCTCACCCCTTCCCCCAGTGCAAGGTAGCAAACCGGACGTGCGTCTGGTTGACCTCCCTGCCTTTCGTTTCTTCCCTTCCTCCTGCTCCGTAGTGGAGGGCTCCGGAAATTTCGACCACCTAGGGTTCTTTAATGTGCACCCAAATCTGAGCGCACGAGTCTACAGCATTTCCGCCTCCATCGAAAATGCAGCCGCCACAGCCGGGATTCGAACCCGCGATCTGCGGGTCAGCAGCCGAGTACCTAAGGCACTACACCACCGCGGCGGGGTGCGGCGGTTCAGTGGTTACGGTAATATGCCACTGAATCGAAAGTCGAGAGTTCGACCCGGGCCGCGTTGGTCACATTTCGGTGGCGGCGAAAATGCTGTAGAGGCTCGCTTACCGGGCGACGTCAGTGCATGTTAAGATGGTCGAAATTTTCGGAGCCATCCCCTGCGCCGTGCGTTGTAATCATATCGGTGCTTTGGGACGTAAAACGTGCCTTACTGTTATTAAGTTGTTATGTCAGTGCACGTTAATGAACACTAGGTGGTAAAAATTCCTGGAGCCCTTACTAAGGCGTCTCTCATATAGTCTTGTTTTAGGGTCTGTCGCTCCTTCTCCCCCTGCTCCCCCTCCTCCTCCGTATGTATGTATGTATGTATGTATGTATGTATGTATGTATGTATGTATGTATGTATGTATGTATGTATGTATGTATGTATGTATGTATGTATGTATGTATGTATGTATGTATGTATGTATGTATGTAGAGCGGGTATGTGCCACAGGGGTTGCGAGATGGGAGATGGCGGTAGTTGGAGTGTTCACTAGATGGACGCACGGACGGACGCATGGACAGATAAACAGACAAACTAGCAGACGGGCGGATGGATGGACGCACGAATGGACGGACAGACGGATCGACAGACTCACGGATGGACAGACTGGCGGACGGACGCATGTATTGACGCACACGGATGGTCACGCGGACGAACGGAAGCAGGGACGTGCAGACGGACGCTTCGCCCCACTCATCATCATTCACTCCGTGGATATGCTGCGATTTTTTTCGGACTGTGAAACCCCAGATATTATTTTGTTCTTTTCGTGTGAATGTGCGGCACTTTAATTCATTTCTGTTATTTTCTTGTGATTATCCGATTTCATTTGCGATTATCTATTTTCTGTTCAGTGGTATCCTTCGTACTGTTTTTCTACTATTTAGCTGCTCCGGGCGCGGCGCGTCTAACTACCAGCTGTAGCACTTCGTGTCCGCTTCTACTTTTTCGTAAATCTGTGTTTAATCCAAGACGCTGGCGTTCCACTGGCAAAAAACGACGAATTAGCCCTTCGGCAAATACTGGCGTTCTAAACGTGCAGCCTGCTTGGCTTATGTGTATCGAACGTACGAACTGCATCACCACAAGCTTACGCATGCACGGTTTTTCTTCAAGGGGGGGGGGGGGGGGGCATCACAGCGTCCCCGCTGCCTATTAGGACAATGTATGAAGAATACTTGCCTCCCTCCCTATTCATCATTGTATGGGGCAGACATTTCCGCTCCCCTTTCTTATGCGATGCCCCCCTCTTGCGCATGCCTATGTGCGTGACATAAACACGATACGATTACAGGGAGGTGACTCAAACTGCTCCGCAGTTAAAAATGAAAGAGAAAGTTGATTGAAGAAAAGACGAAGGAAGGAAGGAGAAAGGGAATCCACACTCTTTTGTATTACGCACAAAGGAAGCAACGGGGTCAGCAATCGTCCACCATCAAAGGTCGACTAAGTGCCGGGAAAGCATTCTAAAGTAAAAAAAAAAGCAATACCCCCGGAAATGGGTGTACTGTATCTGACGTTTCCCATTAGCGACCACTTCTTCAAGACAAGCACCGAAAGCGTTATTTCCGAACAGGATGGATTTTTAAGTTACGATCTCATCCTAAGGCTCATTAGTATACGCTTGAATTTTCCTTCCCTGCATATGTTGTCACTTCTGATGAAACACTAAACAGAGACGGTTATACCGAACATGATTGTCCCCACTGCTGTGACGCTCTGAAGACGCCGTAGGTGCAGCACAATTTTTTCGAGACTCGAGGCAAACATGCGCAGGCTCGTTTATTACAAGCAGCACAATGTACAAGCGAGTCGCGAGGTAAGCATCTCCAGAGTTAATTTAACACGACAGTGCTTCGCCCTGATCATTTTTTCACATGGCCGGCAATTCAGCGCAAATTTCTGTCATCTTCGGTGCACCAGGTAAAGTATTTCTTATATAGGTGCAATTTAAAGATACTCCTAACTTCGCAGCCTTATAATAACATATTTTTGCTGGCGAGACCACAATATAAGTATATATATATATATATATATATATATATATATATATATATATATATATATATATATATATATATATATATATATATATATATACTCTAAGTTATAGAAGTAGTCACGTACCGTGGGCCTATAGTAACACTGATGAGACTCTCTCATTCAGGCGGACTCACCTTCACTGCCGTGGCCATGGCTGCGTGAGTCCACCTGACCGGCCGGATGACATCGCAAGGCGGGGACGCGATGACCACATCCGATGGCAACGTCAGCAGCAGCAGTGGTGGTAGCAGCGGCAGGTCAGCGGGCAACAACGAGACGCCATGGGCCGACCTCTGGTGGAAAGAGAGGGTGCAGGTGAGAAGCACGACCTACACGCTGAAGACACTACACCGCGAATCACATTTTCACGAGTCGAACGGTAACGTAGGCGTGTCTATAGTTGCATGCGCTGCCTCGATCCAACATACGAGCCACGCAAGCTGCCAGAATCACCGATGCGAAACACAGCGTTTCGTGGCTAGAAAGTGGGAAATGCCACGCAACTAAAGCCTGGCAAACGTGTATTTTACAATATTGGTCGGCGGGCTCTACAATTCCCCGAGGGATGGAAAGGTAGTTGTCTGTATAGCCTTCGTAGCGTATGCTCGTTTAGTTTATATATACCGGTGTCCAAAACGATTCCGGTTGCACGAAACGTGTACTACTGCAAAGTGGTCTAACTTTCGTCTGTAGCAGACTCTCTATTGTACGATCGAAGATCTATGTAAGCTCCACAACCGCGCAGAGAGAGAGAGATAAATAGAGAGGAAAAGCAGGGAGGTTAACCAAGCTTGGCTCGGTTGGCTACCCTACACTTGGTCTGGTAGAACAACTGCGCAAACGTTAGCAACCACGCTCCTATGTGCCATTGGTAAATGCAACGGACTGTTTTTGCAGTTTCACGCCACTTCAGTACTAAACAGGTTACGAAGTAGGGCGATAGTACTTTGTGCCTTAGCAAACTTTTGTGCTTCACCACTTTTACGTACCGTATGTTCATTCATTCATTCATTCATTCATTCATTCATTCATTCATTCATTCATTCATTCATTCACTGTTTATTCAGACAAAAACAATGATTGCCTAGGTTGAAGGGACTAAAGGCAGATTATTTCTGCCTGACTAAGGTCCCTCCACCCATACATTTGCTCAGGTGAAGTCGAACAAAGGATACAAATTTCATTCTGCTTTTGAATCAGGGGACACAAAATTCAAATTCAACAGGTATAGCAGATGTCGACACATACGTTTTAAAATAACACATTACAGTCATCACCAATTTGCAGTACCAATATATATATATATATATATATATATATATATATATATATATATATATATATATATATAAATGCAACAAGTAGAAATTTCTGACAGAATTACTAAGTACCATAGAGAAATACATTTGAAAAGAAAGAAATTGAGCAATTTTCATCTAATATGCAAAAGCACGAACGACACAAAAGGAACATTCATAATAAATAAGTGCAAGTGTTTGGTCACCGTACACTGCGGCGAAACTGGTGGCAACGTCACCAACTGCGTATCACAAAATGTATATCTTGATTGTCTGTCTGGTATATGTTCGCGTCCTTGTATTTGTGTGCTCACTCTATAAGCATGGTGATCAGTCTTAATTACTGATTCATTTCTTAGGTGATAGTACCATGCCCACCGGTGTTTGGCAGCGGTGTCTTACGCTGAATAGATAGGCTGTCATTTCGTGTTACGCGAAGTTGATTCCCAAAGAGCATGCATGACTTTCGCCTAGGCTTTAGTGCAACATGCGGTTTCGTGAAAGCGATAACGTTAGGTGTCATATACTGACACGTGTGCATACGTGTATGCCGTTGTACGGTTGTCAAACCCGCATACATATAACTCGAGTAAATTCAGTTATTTTTCATAAAGAACTAGTTTCAAGCACGGTACTGCTTGGAGAAGAACACCAATAGGAAATCTCTACGCGAAATCTAAATTGAACAATAACAGCTGAAACAGTCGATATGTCGAACATCAGGCAGTGCGAGAAGCCCCAAGAAGTTGGCTTTCCCTCGAAAGATATAAGCCCGCGGTTCAACTACTGAGAATATGAAGAGCAGTTTATATTTTTTTTAAGAAAAGCACTGTTTATGTCGAGACTGCGTTTTTTTTTTGCGTATGACACACCCTTACACGTGTGTGTGAAAGAGAGAGAGCTCGATATATGCGGCTTTTAGTATCGAATGAAGACTGCCGTATCATTGTTGTAGAGCAAGACGTATGATGTGTACTGATATGCATCTAGTATTATATTTATTCAAATTGTCTTACAGGCACAATAAAAAGCATTGAGTAAAGGAGGCACGAGTATATACATTGCAAAGAATACAAACGAAAAGTAATAAAAGAACAAGGAAGAAAAGTAAAAGAAAAACAAATTATAAACAGCAGGGTGCAACAAAGTTATACAGTAGTAAAACACAACGAGATCAGATTATTCCTATTAGGACTTGTATAATAATCGACAGTTAGTTCATGCTATTGTTTGTATGCAAATTGTGCAACTTCGTGTATCTATTTCTTTTATGCTCCCCTTACACAATGTCCTGTTGGGTCTGTAAAGTATTTTGAATACATATATAATGACTGGCTATATCATACAAATAATATATTATATAATCACTAACGAAAAATAATAACGAATAAATAACTATTATGTAATAATTAACGAAGAAATAAACGCCCATTACACTGTTGTGAGCCGGTTGCAGGTCTGTGGGATAAAAGCCGCACATGGCGCGCCTGCATGTCAGTTACATCGCACCAAAGCAAGACATAGCGAAAGGAATCTTCACGATAGACGAAAAAAGATTTCAAATGACACGGGCACCAAGTTCATTAGCGAGAATTGCAACACTCCAAAAATTGATCACGTTCCGCAGTGGTGAGAGCGCTAGCTTTAAAACAAAATAAGGCTAAGTTTGTGTCACCATTTCGGAGTGCCCTCGCAAATATAGTTAAGCTTCATTAGGAACTCGTACTCGGGATAAACGAAATCTAATTTTAATTCCCATTAAGAAACGTCAAGAAGCCGGCTATATTATCGATCGCTCACCTCGTTCTCTTCTGAAAGTGGCGACGCGCTTTTATTGATTATTTAATTCGGACCACAAGAGGGACCACAGAGCAACACTGTATAGCGTGAAACGATAAATTAGATTTGTCTAATAAATTAAACTCCAAAATCTCTGTCACTAATTTCAACATCATCTGTTTATTAACAGATGAGACAACCAACGTCAAAGCTTATACATTTCCTGTCAAAATCTTCGACAATGACGTCACACATTTCAAAATTTTTTTCCCGTATTGCCACGCGTGTTCAGCACTTTATTTTCGTGTGTTTCAGTTACGCCCAAGAAGACTTTGCAATGCTCGACGCAGACCACGCCGCGATGCTTGAGAAGCTTCGCGATTCTTCAAGACCATACGCGCAAGACGCGAATAATTCGCTGTGCGATTATGGTCTTGCCGATGAGCGCACATCTTCTATTGCTGTGGTTTGACTTTTGCTTTCTCGGGCTCGAATTTGCCCGCGCAAAAAGTTTCGTCTCGCACACGCCGACTGCTGCATTTGTCAATGTCACGACCACTTGACAGTATTTTGTCCAAATTGACTGAACAAAAGTTCCTGAAATTTCGTATGTGCATTCCTTGGCTCTCTCAGGAGACAATGTATCTCATGTTTACAGGTTGATAGCTACATGCGCCTCAGTAGACGCCACCAAAATTTATGACGTCGTGGCGACAGGTGCGGAAACTTGAACGTGGCATCACCACCAGCGTTTTTTTTTTTTTTTGCACATTTTCTCCCCCAATGCATCCTTTTGCAGTAAGCGCATTGTTTTTAATATCGTTACAAAAAAAAAATTACTGACACTACAAAATTCTTTTTTTCTTTTCTTCATTGTCTCTTTGAAAACGACACATTTCTTTCGTTCATTCTACGATCTGAGACGTTAATTGTTTAAGACGTTCACGACGGTATCCCGACCCAGGGAAAGGCACCTACTGATACGCTTTCAGAGACATTGCCCCGCCAAGGTGGTCTAGTGGCTAAGGTACTCGGCTGCTGACCCGCAGGTCGCGGGATTGAATCCTGGCTGTTGCGGCTGCACTTCCGATGAAGGCGGGAATGTTGTAGGCCCGGGTGCTCAGATTCGGGTGCACGTTGGAGAACCCCAGTTGGTAGAAATTTCCGGAGCCCTCCACTACGGCGTCTCTCATAATCATATGGTGGTTTTGAGACGTTAAACCCCACAAATCAGTCATCGACTTTCAGAAAAAGAGTAACGCATAAGCGTGAAGAAAAATGTATTCTTAACGCGAATAACATTTTCCTAATTAGGTATTGTACATTTGCGTAATTAGAGTTTTACAAAAGGGTGGCTCAATAGTCAACTAGGTTGGTGAAAACGTATAGTCGGCTTCGTCGTTTAGTACGAAATGAAGGCCGTTTCTAAGCTTCCGTGCAGTGGTCGAGCATGCCTTCGGAGTCAAATGAGAAGAGAAAGTGCACTTTCTTTTGTAATAGAGAGAGAAATAACATTTATTTATACATCCAGCGTGTAGGAAGTCACCGGCCTCGCAGGTCGCGCATGTTCCCTATCTCAAGATTACGGCTATTAGAGTCCGATAATCTCAGAGCGTAGACCTCGAGGATGTTTTGCTCCGACTAGGCGACAGTCACTCGGGTGGGGGGCCCGTTAGACGGGTCGTCGGCTCCTTTTGTCCGTTGCTTCGCCAAAACCTCCTCAAATCGCTGGATGGCCTTTTGTAAGGTGCACGCGCTCTACAGAACATAAAACACAAGACAAATAATACAAGACGAAAAGGTCCTGTATTATAAACGGGACAATTTAGCTTAGCTTTGACATCCGTTTATGCTGTACCAAAACTGTCCTAATGCTGTTTCATGTAATAACAGTGCAGATATTTAAGCTAGCCGTAATTTGTGTGTGTGTGGCCTGTCAAAAAAAACTATCGTCATCATTAACGGGTATGCACCGCATAAATATGGTAAATTCAACCCAGATGGGCATGGTGTATGAGTAACAGGAACTTCGCTATGGCTACATTAACACCTCAGGGCAACCTGTGCCGAGCCTCCAGGGCCGACCTCTTCGCCATACTTTGGGGCCGACCGAGTGTACGCGAGCATCGTAGCCCGCAGGGCTTGCAAATTATTACGACGCAGCAGTGGGAGTCCACCCTGCTCTGCTCAGACCCTATAACGAGCAGCTCTGGGTCACGGGGTGGGCGGAGACAGCCG